GGTGCAAAAATGCTTTAGGCCAAAGGAAGTTATATGAAAGTCTCGAAAAGTGAGGAAACAAACAGATGTTTTTTTGAAAAAGTAATTTTTGATGAACTGGTCCCCAGTTTGTAAGTCTATATAATACTGATACATGGAGTCTAACCTGAAGAGAAGTACACCGAAGTTAGCTATGACCGGCATTTGAGTGCATCTCAGTGACGCCACTAATGCTGGATCCCTTGGAATCTTTGATTGTTGGATGAATGTCTATGCATATTCAGTTATGGCGCCGATATAATTTTACGTAAACGTTTCGAAGAATTCATAGCACAAAAGCAAACGATTGGCTTAGGAACACGACATGTACCCGTGGTTTGCGCAGTGCTCGAGGGCGGTACTTGCACTATAAGAGCGATTCTTCAGTATCTGAAGAAGTGAGTACAGTTCATGCATCGTTTCATACTTCTCTTGTTTTTATTTATACCCATGCCCATCACGACTTTTCGAATGATCGGTGTAGAAAATTCACTGCTAAGTTGGGGCTAAATGCTAAACAGCTGTTCCAAACACTTCGTTCCTTGAATACTTCCTTTCAATCCAGCTGCCTCAATGGGTGTTTCGGTCTTTTTTGAAAAGGTGCATCGTCTTGCTAATTTTTAGGACAGCTCTGGCGCTTTGATTAACTGCTCTCAGTGAAGTAGCTCTTTAACTATGTAGGTAGTATCCTCTCTCCAATTGCTCCGACCAATATTGCATTATCTGATGGTCAGCCTGCAGCTGGCGATCGTTTCTTCTTTAAGGGGAGAACATTTTAATGAAAAATAATCTTTGCATCTTTGTTAAAAAACTTTACAGCGAACCTCCGGTTCCAGTAATCGTTTGTGACGGAAGTGGACGAGCTTCTGATCTCATTGCATTCGCGCATCGCCATGTTTCTGACGATGGGTGTGTTTTTTATATTTTTTCGAAAACTTTGAGAATACCAGAAAACGTGTTGCTCATCGCTTCAGGTAAGCTTGAACTACAGCCATTCACAATTTGAGAGTGATAACGAAGATCAGTTTACGTTGCATTATCCTAGAAAACAGATTTTTTGCTTTTATAAATTTTCTAAATTTCTTTCAGAAGTCTGCCAGATGAAATTCGGACACAGCTTTTAACTCTCATTGCGTCGGTGTTTCGACACAGTACCACACCACCGGCTCAAATCCTCGAAGAAGTCTTGTGTTGCACCAAACGACGTGATTTGGTTGGTTACTGTCGCGCAGTTAACAAATTTCAAAAGTAGCATTCACGAGGTTTTTACGGTTAACAAACATACGGGCTAAAATATCAGGACGATCCAGTTCAACTCGTCACTGCTAGCACTGGTCCAGCATCAGCCACGCGTCCTCAAAAAACACTTACAAAGCATATGAAAAAACGAGCTTTTCGGTACTTGGAACACTTGAAACAATTGCTAATCCATAGTTTGGTTTTCTAATTATGCAGCTGGCAACATTTTTTTCTACCGTAGTGCATTTTCTGTATCCAAAATACTCCCAGCACTCGAGATAGTGAGTCGGTCCAGCGCACTGGTAGCCTTCTTGCTAGGACAACACATTGCTTCAGAGTTGGTTGTCTTGTATATTTTCTGTCTAGTGCTGCTTGCTGGAAGCTTCCAGTTGTGTATTTTATTTTAAATAAAATTCACATTTCTATTTTTTGGTAAAATTCTATAAATGATTTTTCTTTAATTTCTTGCTTTTTTTGCAGCTTACAGTATTTCGCTTGGGCGAAAACAAGAAGCAAGACGTTGATCATGCAATCTTAAGCGCTATGCTGAAAGGACAAAATTTG